CCATAATTCCTTTCTCTTCTGAACTTCTGTGCTGCCATATACTGTAGCAATCCTCCACCGGCAATTGTTATACAATTTCAAATCTCCAATGACCACTTGAGAAGAATAGTCAATAATAGAAAAATCAGCAATTTTATACTTCCATAAAATCAACATCCCGCCAGACAATCCAGAAGAAGGAACATAAACAAATTCCCAATCATCACCAATCAAAAGATTAACTTCCATTCTATCAATGGAACTTAATTTGGTGTCAACCAACCCCAAGAAAAACACATTATGTAATTTTACAAATTCCCTAAGATATAGAGAAGCATTCTTCTTCCTTGCTCCTCTACAATTCCAAAAAGAAATGGAATACATTAAAAGTGATTAGGGGGATTCCTCCCCATAGTACCTTTCTCTTCAAGCTCCAATCTTCTTAATCTGGTAGAGGAACTAATAGGACCCAAATTCTTTAATTGTTTGGAAATCTTCTTCTTTGATGATTGAGAACCACTTTCTTTTCCTTCACCTTCTTTATTTGCAGGAACTTCTTCTCCAGGGAATTCTTTTTTATACTTCTTTTGAAAATAGCAGTTGCTAATTCTTCATTGCCCTTCACTATTTTTAACTCTTTGTCTTCTGCCTTTATGTCATTAATTTGGACAATCTCCCCTTCTTCTTCAAGATCCACAAGTACATTAAAACTGTTCCCATCATTTAGACTCCGGGAAATTTTAGTTATTAGAACTTCTGAAGCTGCAGAAATAGTTTTGTTTTGCTCACTGCTGATAGATTGCTGCTTATCTTTTGCCAGATGTACATCATTTTGCTTCTCCATGCTGCCATCCTTTTTATCTTTGTTCTTCACAGGAACAAAAATCCTTCTGTTGTCTGCTCGTTGAGGAGGCTTCCTCTGATTATTGTTGAAAAACTTCTTCTTTTCATAATTCACCAACAACCATGGCCCATACTCTTCTTTGTCCACTCCCTCACTAGTTAACCTTATTCTGAGAATTTCCAACCATACAACTTTCATTTGTTATTTCCAGATTTCCATTTCCAGTCACATCATTCTTCAACTTGTTCTCCATGATAGACTTGGCACAATTGCTTTTGACATGCCCAATCTTTCCGCAATCAAAGCATAAGCTAGAGATCCTCTCATACTCTATCTTTTGATAGAATTTATCTTTATCATCTCCAACCCATACTCCTGTTGGTAGTTTTGCATTCAGCTCAATACAAACACAAATTCTACCAAATTCTTTTCTTGACCATTGAAACATATTTCCGTCGATCAAGTTGCTGGAATTAAATTTCAGCAAGGTTCTTTTTGCTTCTATTTCTAAATCGTTTCTTATCATATCCTAAGGAAGAACAATAAGGATGCAATGCATTGAATACAAAAATAATTTTTCAGCAATAGATCATACTAGACTGTAAAACCCAAAAATGACGATCGTAGGTCGTCGCACGCATTTCAATGCGTCGTGATGAAACTTAAGTGAAAAATTCAAGGTTAACGGATTTCGACGAAAATAATTTTATAAAATTCTACACAAAATTTTGATTAATTTGATATATATAACCTATAGTAAATTTTGTGTATTTTGAGAGAGAAAAATTATGGAAGCCTCTAAATACCAAAACTATCCCTAATATGTATTAATGCTAAAATAGAATAAGTTAGGGCAAATAGGTCTTTTGGTTTTCCCTTTTCTCCTTAATATATCAACCAAACCCCCCTCCCCCTCTCTTTTCATTCATCCAAACTGAAACCGAGCGGAAGATAGGGCGGACGAGCGGACAGTAGAGGCTTCGACGGGGATAGCTCCAGCGAGGAAATTAGTGAAAATCGAAGAGTACGACGAGGGGACTCTTAAGGTATGATGTATTCGAAGCGAATCCCTCTCAATCTCAAGTTATTTGGAGACGAAATTTCTAGAGTTTTACAAAAATTTCATTTTCTTTCAAAACTTCTTTACGAAATCGATATGTAAGGATTAGGGAAATATTTTACCGATGAAAATGAAGTTTTTTGGAGAAATTTTGGAAAATAAAATTTAGGGCTTTTACCTAAAAATCAAATTTTCTTAAGCTTTACAAAAACGATTCATATGGATCTTAAGAATGTTTCTAAAGAAAACTTTTATGTTTTTATAAGAAATTTTATTTTTCTTAATTTTCCTAAATAATTAAATCCGAAAATTAAGATTAAATAATATGAATTTTATTAAACGTTGTTAAGGAATAATTAAGGATAAATGAAGGGTTTAGACAATTAGGAATTAGATTAAACCCTAAGGAAGATTGATTTGTGACATGACTTTTTATGTGATTATTTAGGTTGCGATCTTTAAGGTGAACGAGGTGTGTCAAAGCGTCACTTTGAGGAAATACTGTGCTTAGGTGTACTCATATTATTTTTAAAATTTTCATAGTTATGTTTTGTTCTTTTATTCAATGCAATTAGTTAGAACTTTCAAGTTATATGGTTTCCAAATTTTATTTCTGGCAAATAACATATTCAAGTATTTTATTTCATGATGTTAGTGAGCTTTCATACTATTCTTAGATTCAAGATTTTCATGTTTTAAACGGATGATTTTTTATTCACAATTGTTCTCATTACACATATGATTGACTGAAAATAAGTTATAAATTATAATATGAGAATGTACATGATGATGCGGAGTGCCCAAATGGTAAAGAGGCTTGAAAAAGCCAAATGGTAAAGGAGCTCGAAAGAGCTAAATGGTAAAGGAGGCTCGTTAGAGCCAATGATAAATGAATGACCAAATGATATGAAAATGTGTACCTGATCAGTACATAATTTATGGGCACCTCCAAGACGGGTGATATAATAGACATTATGCATAATATGGTTTATATATATTTTCTACGAAATATGAAAGTTGATGTTTGAGGAAAAACATTAAATGAAAGGTTTATGATTCAGGAAAGTTTATGAAAATGTTTCTTATAAGTAATGTTATGAATTTATGTAAGTTTGACTGTCGTTTAAAGTTTTATTATGAAATGATACTTTATTTTCGTTTTATACAAATTTTTATGAAAAATATAAATTACATGCTGAACGAGTAAGCTCACTTATACTTGTGGGAATCTTTTTCAGGAGAATCATCTGGAAAGTAATGGCAACGAGATGACAGTACACCTACCATCGTAGAGGACCTCAGGAAGAAAAGTTTTATGTTTTCTATTATGAGTTTGAGTTAGTGGTTTGTATATGAGAAGTCTGTTGGAGTTTATGTAAATATTGATGTTTATGTTTTGGTTATTGTGGTTTAGAAGAAACAAATTTTTAAAACTTTGGTGTAGATGTTTTTAGTAGCTCTTTCTTATTATGTGTTGAAGATATTCATGTTCTATTTAAAAAGAGTAAATGAAATTGTTTATGGTTTATTTATGTTTTCCCTACGACTATCTGCTCCCACCCCGTTAATTCGGGCTAGCCGGGTCGAGTCATAGACATAGACTAACTAATAGGATAACTAGGGTGGATTAGTGACAACTATTGGTCGAACTTAGAAGAAAAGATTTTTATTGGATCTTTAACATGATAAGATAAGCTCCAAAATAAGAATAACAAGCGTATAAAATAAGAAGCAATGGAAATGAAACGCTAATGTAAGAAGATCCTACATAAATCGAGATACCAAAAATGTTACTTATAATAACCAAAAGTTATCCTTTACAAACATTCCTTCGTTGTAGATTGAATCTTTCTTCTTTGAAAATCCTTCCAGTGCTATACTTACTACACTCTCAAGTAGTCCGTCACTTGGTACTAGAAAGCACACCAAGTGAAAGTGTTTAGAACACTCAAGAGTAATTTCATTCAATAATCATCATCCTTTTCATTCCAAACAATATTGTTTATCTAGCCTTTGAGCAACAACAAAGCCAAATGAAGAAAGAGAAAATGGTGCATATTTTTGGCCTGGAAAATGGAGAATTGATGGTGAGATGGTCATCAAGCATTCCTTGTGATTTAGAAGTCATTTGTGTGAGTTTTTATGCATAGCTTGTTAATTTAAGTTGACTTCAATGCTAATAATCAATACGCTTGAGAAAAGAACGAAGCAGTCAAAATGGTTAAAACATGGCTGTTTGTGCTAAGGAAATGGGTGGAATTATTAGGCCGGTTCAAACTAAAGTCCATAAACACCTAATAAGTGACTTTATGGTTTGGCCCATAGGAAGGACTAGCACACCAATCTTGAAGTTTTTAGACGAATCATATGATTATGGGATTGATCATCATTGCCCAAAGATTTTCTAAATTTCGTTCAGCCTGAAGTCAACTTCATCAAGGACTTCAATTTTCTCGAGCCTTATTTCTTCTTGTGTGAGTCCACATTGGATGGCAACATAGAGTGAAGGCAGCTAAAACTAAAGAGGGAATATAACCTTAGTTCCAAACACAAACGAATACAATGCCTTGTGCATTGCATTTTACACGTGGTCAAATAGACTTACAGAGCTTTTGTCAGTAGCATGGCCCATAACACAAGGTCCAAATATAAGCAGCCCAAAGAGGTCAAATGGCTAAAATACAAGTCTCCAAAAACCCAAAAAATGCAACCGTTCAAAATTATTAAAAAAAACATAAGAAATAAAATATGCCCAGACATATCTTAGTTACATAAAAACAAGACTGGTTAGCATGCATGCATAGTTACCAAAGGCAACAGTAATGACTAGTGTACAACATCATATCCTTTCTCATCAAGAAGGAAATCATAAAGAATGTTCTAAAAATTTCCGTTATTAAAGAGGAAGAATACTTAGATTTGAGGTTCATGATGGCAATTTATCCGTTGAGATCAAAATTCCCAAAAAGCTTCACCATTTTTTCCATGATAAAAGATAAACATCAGATAAAACACCTAACTACCGCAAATTGGAAGCTAAGTATTGAAAAAAAAAAAAAACTTGTGCCAAAACTACCATAAAGAAAGCTGAAATAAAAATAGTATTAAAAAGAAAACCTTGTGCCAAAACCTAGCATAAAGTAGGTGGAGAACAGAATGCTCAGCACCACCAACATAAATATCCACTGGGCCCCAGTATCTGAAAATGAAGCATTGTAAGAACTCCATAGAAGCGACAGAAGGATATGTTGTTATGCCTTAGAAGGATGGAATATGACATACCTTTCTTTAGACTTTTCAACCAACGCAGTTGAATTATTTGGATCCATAAACCTTAAATAGTACCTGTATGCAATATGGAAAAACCATTCTACAATATTTGCTGGACCACTCTTAGAATTTATGCAAATAGAAATCATTATGCAGGAAAGAAAGCGCTGCTAACAGCCATATTGAGGAAGAGAGAGAGAGAGAGAGAGAGAGAGAGAGAGAGAGAGAGAGAGATGGAGGGAAAGTAGAGAACAGAGGAGGTAAGGAAAATATGGCAGAACATGGATTTTTAAAGACAGAATCTACAAGAAAAAATAGAATTTTTATCAAACAGACAATCAATAAGAACGAAAAAAAATTCCAGGCAGTTGTCTATGTTACCTTAATTAAGAAACAAACATATTTTATGAATCCATTTCAACAGATTCAATTTTTATACTTTGAAAAATGAGCCAAAGAAAACTACATTTTTAGTTTGTTCCACTATCTTAATCTCTAGTTCATATGTGTTACAGATAAGTTTAGAGAAAATAATCAAATCACCCCCCAACTATTTATGAAGGGTCAAAATGATCCCGTATTATATAAAAGGGCCAATTTAATACCTAGACTATTTTAGAAGAGACCAAAATAGTTTAACAGTCCAAATTGGAGGATAAATTCATGGAAATCCCTATTGGATCAGCAGACAACTTATAAAGCATGCGTAACTTTTAGGGTATTTTGGGAATTTATTTATTTATTTTTGTTGTCACATTTATCCTAGCTGAGACGAAGAGGCGAGCATGAGACATGGAGTGGATGTAGCTTCCCCTCAGCAAGCAACGAGCAAGATTACCATGCATGGCCAAAGAAGGCGGGAGAGAGAAATGAAAAAGCTTCCTCTCTTGGGTGCCACAAGCTCGAGACTATCACCCACCATCCTCAAACTCGACAGAGCTTCACTAAGCAAAAGAAAAAAGAGGAGCAGACTAAGATTCCCACTTAGCAGCAATGTAACGATGAAGGGTAGTGAAGATCCCCCTTGCACAATTAATGACAAATCGGCGGTGGTTGCACGAAGAAGCGTATGACATTTAAAAAAAAATGTTAAACAAATTTATTATATAAAATCAACTCGCTTAGCAGCCTACATGATCACAATCCAATCCCGTTTTAACATCAGATTACCTATTGTCCATGAGAAAATAGGTAAGCAAAAAATTAAATTTACTATGAACATTCAAATAGAGATTTTAGCACTTTAAATGAAAGTAAATATTTTTATTTTTATCGGCGTATTAGTAAAACTGAAGTTAGAGAGACTTTAAAAAAAATGAAGTGTGAAAAAACTATTTGACCTGATGATATTCCAATAGAGGTGTGGGAATGCTTAGGAGATGAAGAAATTTCTTGGCTTACTAAACTTTTAATATTATTTTGAAGTCTAAAAAGATGCCAGATGTGGGAGAATGAGTTATTTGATTCTTATTTTTAAGAATAAAGGTGATGCACAAGATTGTGTAAATTGTAGAGAAATTAAGTTGATGTGCCATACTTTAAAATTTTGGAAGAGAGAGATGGAGCATAGGGTACGACGTGATACTAATGTTTCTCAAAATCAATTTGGATTCATACCGGGTAGATCTATTATAGAAGCTATTCATTTATTGAGAGGGTTGGTGGAGAAGTTTAGAGAGAATAAGGAGGATCTACATATGATATTTATTGATTTAGAGTAAGCATATTATAAAGTTCCAAGAGAAGTGCTATGGAGAGAGTTCTATAAAAGAAAAGGGTTAATAATGCTTATATTCAAGTCATTAGGGATATGTATGCATGAGCTATTACTCGTATTCAAACACAAGGTTCTTTGAACAAGTATTCCTATTTCAGTTGGATTACATCAAGAATCAGCCTTTAAGCCCTTATCTTTTTGCTTTAGTCATGGATGTTCTTACTAGATATTTGCAAGAGGATATTCCCTGGTGTATGCTTTTTGCTGATGATATTCTTCTTGTTGATAAGACTAGAGAGGAAGTTGAAGGTAAACTTGAATTATGAAGGTCAACCTTAGAGTCTAAAAGTTTTCGTTTGAGTAGATCTAAAACCAAATACATTGAGTGTAATTTTAGTAGTAATAAATCTAGTGGTGGGTTTGTGACGTTGAGCGATCAAGTCATTAATAAGTGTACTTATTTTCGGTAACTTGGGTCGAGTGTTCAGAGTGATGGTAATATATATGGGTATATCATTAGCAGAATTCAAGTTGGATGGTTGAAGTGGAGGAATGCTTCAGGTTTGTTGGGTAATAGAAAAGTATCACTCAAACTTAAGGGAAAATTTTATAAGATTGTGGTGAGACCTAGCAAAAAGTTGGTCATTAAAAGAGAAGCATAATATTAAGTTAAGTGTTGCTGTGATGAGTATGCTCAAGTGGATGAGTAGATTTACTTTTAGAGACAAGATGAGAAACGAGCATATCCGTGAAAACATTGGAGTAGCTCTAGTGACAAAAAAGATTGGAGAAAGTTGCCTTCTATGGTTTGGTTATGTAAAAAGGTAGCCTTCTGATTAGTTTGTTAGGAGAGTACATGTATTAGATTTGGCCTAGGTTAAGAAAGGTAGAGTTGGACCTAAAAAGACTTGGTTAGAAAATATTAGAAATAGCCTTTCTTTATTATATTTAAATGAGAATTTGACTTTTAACATGACACAATGGAGAAAAAGGATTCATGTAGCCAACCCCACATACTGGATAAAGAATTGATGTTGTTGTGTAAGAACATTCAAGAAGAAAAAATAAAATTTTAAAATACACCTATTTTTAACATAATTAACACCAATTTTTGTATCTTGGAAGGCGTGATCATTTTGGTCTCTTTAAAAGAATTAGACTAAATTAAAATTTTCCATAGTTTAGGACATTTTTGGTCATTCACAAATTGTTGGGACTATTTGATCAGTTTCTATATAATTTATTGTCAAAAACTAGACTTAGATTAAAAAATAAGTTGAACACCGCGGACAAATACTTCATAATCTGGCATCCAGCTGCTTCAATCCTATAGGCCTTCCAAAAGGATCAGATAAAGGGTCTACAGCTACCAACAAAAACAAAAAGGAAAACGTAACTGAAAATTAAACAATAATTGTTGCATGTAAATGAATTGGATGACATACCAACAAGATCCAGCCCATTGTGGCATTGTATTCGTTTCTCTCCTAGCAGGCCTGTGAGATATAGGATCGATTGTTTTTACCTGAATATAGGGTTTAATAATTATAAATATCTCATAATAGACTGTGATCATGATACCTTCTTACAATTAGCATACTATAAAATGGAACTACAACAAGAACTGCATTTTTAGGAATGTGAAGAGATTAAGAGATGTATTGGCAATTCTTTACACAAACCAATACGATCAATGAACAATACAATCAAAGAGCAGCTCTATACTCAATTTGATTACGGATACTTTGAATTCGCTTATGAAGCCCAAATAAAATGAAGTAGCTCACATATAGGTCTTTGTGATATTTTTGTTCGAAAACAAGTCCTTTATTGCTCAACAAGTAGCTTGGTGAGAGATACATAAAAAACACATTTACTGATTTCTTTATAGCTTAAAATCTTAAATATTGTTCACGCGCTAACGATTCTTAGCAAACAATCATTGCTTAGCTCAAACTAGATCAATTAGAGCTCAACCATTTAAGCATAGATGAAACAGATAGTTTGAATCAGATACAGCTTTAAAGAAACGTGGTGAAAGTTATGTTACATGATATAGGTTACTTGATCAGATTAAAATCATTTAAACTGCCTTTAGCTAAGCTCAATTAAGGCTTAGCTACTTTAAAGCACAAATATTCTAGGTTAAGTTTGAACTTGATAAAAATATATACAAGTGAGAATGTTGGATCCAACAGCATTTGCTGATAACACCCAACTTTACTAGTAAACTGGTGAGCTACTGAACTAGAACCGTGAGTAACTGGAGAGAAGAGGGAATGAAGGAACTAGGAATTAGGAAAAATCTATAGGAAACTGAAGAGAAATATGAATCTTAGACCAACATGAAATCAACTAAAATTAGCAAAAAAATCCAACAAAAGTTTGGCCAAAGGTCCTAAACTACTCCTCAACATTCCTTATTTATAGGATTTCGAGGGCTACAATAAAGACTACAAAAAAGAGAAAAAACTAAAATGCTATTCTGTATAACCCTATACAAACTACCCTAAACAGGTGTCATCGTCTGCTTGGATGAAAGAGAATGAGGTCAGAAGGCCCGGTGAGTGTCTCTGGGTGAGCTTAGTAGTGCCGAGTAAGATGGGGCAAGTCTGTGGGTGAGTGCTAAGATGAGGATGCATGCGACTAGTGGGATTGGTGATATTGCCAATGACTTGTATGAGAGATCTCGGGTTGCCTGAGGGGAGAGAGAGGCGAGTCAAATGTTATCATGAGAAAGGAAAGGCCTGGAGACCGCGACGATATGAACTGAGAGTCCGGCAAATAAGCAATTCCCTATAGCTAAATTTGGTGAACTTCTGTGAGAATGATTGCTCTGTGAGAGAGAATGTGGCTAAGAAGGTGATCCAGTTACGTGACAGGTGTTGAGTCTTTGGCTAAGTGAGGAATCCCTAATTTTACCCTAGGATGGGCGACTTCCTTTGCAGGGTCGAGCGAGTAATTTCTTTTGATTATGTCAAGCAAGTTCCTACCTTGGGCATCCCATGATGGTAGGTTCCTCAATTACCCGCAAGTTACCTACAAAGGTGAATATAAGTATATATTTAGTCCCGAATTCATTCGACCTTTTAATAGGCGAGTGACAAAAAGGACGAGTGAATGATAATAAATGCGATTACCAAATATTAACCAAAAAAGTAAATGCAAATTTCCTAGCATATTATCACTATAGCCTCAATCATCGGGTAGATTACATTTTAAAGATAAGACACCACCTTCTCCCTTGGTTCACTATAAATAAAGGCTTTATGTTGAAATTTTATTTCTCGAGCATCTTTGGAGGAAACATGTGAGTGCATACAAATGAGGGTTGAACCTAAGATGACCTGAGATTTTCTCTTCAAAGCGCTGCGGTGCTAGATTTGAGGGCACAACGACGCTGAGATCTCGGCTTAAAACATTTAATTCTGAATAGTGTCATATCCGTTGTTTGGAGTGCGACGCTACATAAATTTTTTTTTAAATATCAAAATCCACTAAAATTCCATTTTGGTGAAATCCCCCAAGGCAATGGCTTAGAGAGAGTGTGTTTCTAGTAAGAGAAAGTTAAGTTTGGACGACTTTGATCTTTTTCTACTGTCAGCCCAGTTCATAAAGTTTTTTTTATCGAGTTAAGTTACATTCTGCCTATCACAACTTTTAATAATAAGAAATTTTTGAGATTTTTCTAATTAAATCTATAATTTCAAAGTATAGAAATGAGGATAAAATTTCATCTGTTAAATTTTTACCATGTAATTTTTTAATGTTATAGATATGACTATGTGAATTATAGAGGAATTAAGTTGATGTACCATACTTTAAAACTTTGGGAGAGTTATGGATTATAGGTTATGATGTGATACTAATGTTTCTCAAAATCAAATTGGATTAATGCCTGTTAGGTCTATTATGGAAGCTATTCATTTTTTGAGAGGGTTGATGTTGAAGTTTAGAGAGAATAAAGAGGATCTACAAATGATAATTATTGATTAAGAGAAAGCATATAATACAGTTTCATGAGAAGTGCTTTGGAGAGTTCTAGAAAAGAAAGGGTTAATAATGTTTATATTCAAGTCATTATAAATACGTATGCAGGAGTTGTTACTTGTGTTCAAACACAAGGTGGTTTAACGAAGTATTTTCTTATTTTGGTTGGATTACATCAAGGATCAGCCTTAAGCCCTTATCTTTTGGCTTTAGACTTAGATGTTCTCACTAGACATTTGCAATAGGATGTACCTTGGTGTATACTTTTTGCTGATGATATTCTTCTTGTTGATAAGACTAGAGAGGGAGTTGAAGATAAACTCAAATTATGGAGGTCAACCTTAGAGTCTAAAGGTTTTCGTTTGAGTAGATCTAAAACCAAATATATTGAGTGTAATTCAGTAGAAGTAGATCTAGCGGGTGGTTTGTGACTTTGAGCGATCAAATCATTAATAAGTGCACTCGTTTTAGATATCTTGGGTCTATTGTTCAGAGTGGTGGTGGAATAGATGGGGATATCATTAGTAAAATTCAAGTTGGATGGTTGAAGTGGAGGAATGTTTCAGGTTTGTTATGTGATAGAAAACTATCACTCAAACTTAAGTGAAAATTTTATAAGATGGTGGTGAGATCAACAATACTTTATGGCGCTGAATGTTGGCCATTAAAAGAGAAGCATAATATAAAGTTAAATATTGTTGAGATGATGATGCTTAGGCAGATGAGTGGATTTACTCTTAAAGACAGGATACGAAACGAGCATATCCGTTAAATAGTTGGAGTAGCTCCACTGATAAATAATATTAAAGAGAGTCGCCTTAGATGGTTTGATCATTTAAAATGACGGCCTTTCGATGACCCGGAGAGTAGATTATTAGATTTGGCCTATGTTAAAAAAGGTAGAAGTAGACCTAAAAGACTTGTTTAGAAAATATTACAAAAGACCTTTCTTTATTAGATCTAAATGAGAATTTGACTCTCCAGGACACAATGGAGAAAAATGATTTATGTAACCGGCTCCAGATAGTGGGATAAAGGATTGATGTTATTGTTAGTGTATATATGACAATTTTATATATTTTACTATTTTCTTTAAAATTTTGACTGATTAATTGGAAAGTAATCAATTTTTAGCAAATTAAAAAATGATTCAGACCTCAGAAAATAATATTGTAGTATATTTAAGACTTTAAAATAGTAATATGCACAATTCCTGATAATTTGGTGAAATTTTAAAATCATGAATTTATGCTTAGTCGTTTAATCTATTAGCCACCAGTATATTTTTTGAATCCCTGCATTTTAATTATTTTCAATTCTTTTATTAAAATATAATAATATATGTGCTTATCTTGAGGTGTATGATTCTTAGGAGTTATGGATGCTAGAGGAAATTCTATTGTACTAAATGCATTAGGAGCTATAATGACTTATACTTTTAAATATCTAATGTGCTAAGCATTTGAGAGTTATAAGGGTCTGTTTTCTGATATGCTAGCACAAAGAGTCATAAGGGCCTAAATTATGTTTTTATTTTTTTGTTGGGAGGTATAAGGGCTTTAGAGAAATCTATTATTTTCTAGTTTGACACATGAAGCACTTGTTTAATTATATTTTATGTAATGCATATTTAATTTCAGTAATATGTTAGCATTATTGTTCAGAATAATATCTTGTTAATAACTTTTAATTCAGTTAAATGAATATTGGGCTAAGTATTAAAAATTTAAATCGGTGGATATAACCTGCTGAGTTGTCTTAGCTCACAACAATTTTGTATTTTGTTTCAGCTCAAGGAAAGGGTAAGGAGTTAGTTGAATAGTTGAGATGGTAGGTTTAGAAAGTCTAAGTATGTATAAGTATTTTTTTTCATTTTTTTATTTTATATAACCATGGCTATTCTCTATTTTTTTAGCTATAACCATGTAATGTATTGTAAATAATTTGTTGTTTATATTTCTTGATGATGAATAGAAAAGAAAATTTGTGGATAAGTATTTTATATTTCTTGAAAAAAATTATAGCTTTATTGTCTATTGATAATTAAAGAAAATTGAAAAGAGTTCTCCAAATTAAATTTTGGGCTAAATTTGTCATCATCCAACACAATATGACCCATTCTATATGTTAGTTATATTGAGTTAAATTGTGACAACCTCTTTTTTGTATCAAAGCAATGATTTGAAGAACTGATCGTGAACAAAACTATAGGAATTGATCTGTAGTCAAGTGAAATAGTTCTGCAAGTGTTGGATATTCATTTCTATTTATTTTCATGCGCATATTCTATTTCTGCAAAATCGTGTGTATTAAGTGTAAGCGTCTAATGGATTCACAAGACTTAAATGACTGATGGGCAGTGTTAGTTAGATCGTAGTAGTATAGGGTACTACTACTGCTGTTAGTTCTGATTCAATATCTCAGCTTTAGGTGATGAGGATATCGTCAGAGATTTCGACACATGTACCATCAGGAGACGCCGGAGATCGACGACCACGATCATAAGTTTTATTTTGAGTCATTTATGTAATAGTTTATTTGATTTTTATGTGTTTCCGTTTTTGCCCTTATGGGTATTTAGTCGCTATTGTAGCCCAAAGGTCATTTTAGTCTTTTGCTTTCTTTATCATTTTGAGGCCTATTTATATGGCCCTTTTCTTATGTAATAGTTAGTTTTTGATGAAATGAAATTTACTACTTGTGTTCTCTTTGTGAGTGCATCCCTCTCCCAAATCTCTTAGTGAGTTTTGGTAAGAGCTAGATATCTTTGTGAGTTCTAGACCCCCTCCAAGATCTCTAGAAGACTAGATCTCTTTGTGAGTTCTAGTTTTCGTGCTAGCTAATCTTGTGAAAATTCAACGAGAAGACATTTGAGGTTAGTAAATTCGTAGTCGTCAAATCCCCAGAAAATTCCATCTCTTTTTCCCCACTGCCCTTGCCGCCTCCTGCTCCAAGCAGCCCTAAGTCGCCGGCCACCCTGCCTCCATCTTCCGCCGGCCAGCTCAGCCGCCGACGGCAACCCTCCTGCAGGCCAGCCACTGGCCTCCCGCCGGCCAGCCCAGCAGCCCCCTCTCCCGCCGCCTCCTCCATCTTGAATTCCTATTGTTTGAATTTCAAACCCTTGATTAAACACTTTCCTAATTGGTTCCCCTTCATTATGTAAGCCCATTAATGAAATTAAAGCCAATTTCAAATTTCAAATTTGAATTCCCTCTCATTTCAAGTTTTGGGAAGTTACTTAAGCCACAATTAAATCTAAAATTAAAAAAATTCATATTTAATTCAATTACTTACTTAAACTTGGGCCCCACCTTCATAGCTCCTTAATCTCTCCACCTATCCTCATATGGCCGGCCCCCTTTATTGGCCTTCTCTCTCTTCCAAATGACATAATTACACCAATAAATCAGCCCAATTTCCTCCCCACACCCTGCCCACGCCCTGTCTGCGCCCTGCCCGCGCGCCAGGCGAAGCTGCCCGCGCCTGCCAGTACGTTACCGTGTGGCTTCCCACTCGCCCGGTGAAGCTACCCACGAGCCCGCTACTACTGCCCTCACGCGTCCGTGCCAACAACCGCCAGCGCGTCCTCGCCATCCCGCTCGCGTCCACGTCCGAGCCCGCCTTCCCGCGTCGGTTCAGGTCCGGGTTAGGATTTCCAACCTGTTTTCCTACTAGGGTCAGGTTAGGGTCGACCTGTTTGAACTCAGGTCAGTTCCGGATTCAACCCGGACCCGACCCGTGACCTGAAATTAACAACCCTACTCAGCTTGTTAGTCTGGTAGCACAATTTATGAGTGAAATCCAGAACAGGATTCTTTCCGTTAGGTTTGATGATGTGAACAAATACTTACATATGTTTTTGAAAATGAAGCCTCTAAGGTATGAGGGCGATATTGAGCTCAGAGTAGCAGAAGATTGGTTGGTGAGGATGGAGAAGACAATTGACGGTAAGTAATGTCCTCCTGAGAGGCTAGTAGGAAACACAGTAAACAAGAATTTGCTCGACTTAGTTTGAATTTCAGCACTTTGCAAGAACATATTTAAGAAGAATTTGAAAGAAATAATCATAAATAAATGTTTTAATTGATAATACTAGAAGAAAAAATACAAGATATAGTTGGATCTTCTAATGGAGAGGAAGATTCGGCTCTCCCAACTCTCTAAACACCGCTAGAGCCCAAACATGAACAAACAACACCAAAATCAGCAAAAACTAGAAATAAAAAACAAACCCTAGAAGAAATTCCCTCTTAAACAAACATTAATTACCCCTAATTACTAAACAACCCCCTATATTTGAAATTTTTCTCCTAAGTCCTCCCTTAATGTGCTAAGTATTTCAAAGTTATAAAGACCTATTTTTTAATATGCTAGCAAAAAGCATTATAAGATCCTGAATTCTATGTCAGTTTTTATTAGAAGATATAACGGGCAGAGAAATCTATTACTTTCTACTCTGACACAAAATACACATTTATTTCCATATTATACAAAGTTTATTTAATTTTAGTTCTGTAAGAATTACTCTAGTCAGTACAGTAGCTTGTTAATAACTATTTTTAATTCAGTTGAATGAATATTAGGTTAAGTATTATAAATTTAGATCGGTGGGTGTGACCTATTGAGCTATATTAGCTCACACTTATTATTGAGCTTGGCCTATCACCATCTAACATGATATGGTCCATTCTATCTTTGGGTTATAATGGGTTAGGTTATGACAGAAAGTTCTCGGTGCGAGGGAGCCTCAAATCTGTCTTTCTTCGAGCAAGTTACTAGGTTATCTACCGAGTTGGAAAGGAAGACTTTGAAGGAGTACGCACAGAGCCGGTTTACAGAGGGAATTGCTCCACGTAATCAGCTCATTGTATTCCCCTTAGATTTCTTAGATAAAAAGCTTTTGATTGATGATGTTTTATTATTAATAATAGTGTGCCAACTGCTAAAGAGATTAAGGAAGAAAAGCACAATGATGATAAAGAACTTTTGATTATGGCTAGTCGATGGGCTTTAAATTGTTAAGTTGCAGTAGCAAGTATTTTATTTTAGGACCGAGAAAATTTATTGCTTTGGGCATAGAGTGGATAGTGGGAGAATGATGATAAGACCAATAAAGATAATATGACTCAGTCACTATGGGTTGTCATGGACTTGTCTACTTAGTCAACGGAAGTAGTTGACCCAACTGATCAAGCAATCATTGTTAATAGCCTTAACTTGCTTTGACCAAGAGGACCTTATAGACCTAGAGTGGATGTTTGACTAAAAGAACAACTTTAAGTCGACCTTAACCAACAAAATGCTTCATATCCTATCAAGTGCACCCTATGATTCAGAACTCAAGTGGCTAAAACCATTGAACAATATCCGAACCATTGCCATGAATGTAATAAGCCATTGCAAATTAGTCAGTCTTTCAAACTTTTTTAGAATAAAACAACTTAATAAGCACTTTGGACTTCGAAATATATATAAGTGTATGAAATAAAGAAAAGCAAAGAATGTACTAAAAGGCTAGAATTCTACTCTCTTTTATATCTTAATTTTGGGTATTCAATTTCGTTGTTAAAATAAATCAAATAATGGAAATGATAATGCCAAAGTAAACCATGATAGTACATAGAATTTTATCCTCCAAAACATACCCAAGAAGTAGCTCTAGTCAAGGGTGGCTCCCCTGTGCCAGTAGGTGTAAAATCATCCAATTCAGGCAATGTCACAGGCAGCTCATTTTCTGGAAGAGGGACAATTTCGCCAGTATCATCCAAGAAAATAATCGGGAAAGGTTCACCCCAGTAGCGTTGTCTAGCAAAAAGCCAATCTCTGAGCTTATAATTCACCTGATCAAAAAGCATAGTCTAGTAAAGAATCCAAGTACAAAAATCGACAACAGTTTGTGTTCACAAAAAAATTAACTTCCAACCTAGGTTTATACATAAAACACCTTTTTCTTCCCATGACTAGAACTTTCAAGCCAATTAATGACTTTAGAAGCAGCTTCTTTGCATGACAACCCATTGATATCCAGATTAATCAATTGATTTGATGAGTTTATAGCAAAACCATCGCCAGTATATGGTTCATCAAGCACATGACTTGCTTCAAAGGGTTTCACGACCTTAATAATTGGAATCTGGTATTTCAACGCAAACTCGTGGTCACGAAAATCATGTGCTGGGACAGCCATTATTGCTCCAGTACCATAACTGTAAATTTCAGTTTAGAAAAGAACTTCTATTTAGGCCATTTTTGCAAAGCTTCAACATGTTAGAGAAAAAATCGAAGTAACAAAAAAGGGCATCCTAAAAATCACAACAACAAATATTAAATGGTAGATTAACAATATCAGATTAAAAAGTAGTAGAAACATGAGCAACCACAGTATAAATGAGCAAAAACAAAAATTATATGCTTTTAAGAACCACAGCAGATTTACGGTACTGCCTAATTATACATGTTCAGAATAGTGTTGCTCATTTGTAAAAGAGTTGTTCAGAAAAAATAAATTGTGTAAATAGAGGTTTTGTTTTGTGTGTGTGTGTGGGGGGGGGGGGGGGGGGGGGGGGGGGTGGTTTCATGCAAATTTATCACCATCATTGCATTATCCTTTAGCATCGAAATGTTGACGCAAAGCACCAACCAAACAAAATGACAAGCTACCCATCAAATTGAATTGGTCCATCCAATAAAGCTAAAGCAATAAATATAGAAGGTTAAATATGGGAATTCTGCTTCCCTCCTTTCATCTACTGTAGCAAAATGATCAGCTCCACCTCAAAAAACTTCATGACTTTATTTGGGGAAGAGAAAGCATTAGATTTATGTATATAATATATTGGAACTTCTAATCCATACTCAGGAATAATTGCATTAGGGAAAAAGTTACTTGATATGAAACTACATATGGAAGAAAGACGAATAGCAAAATGGGTTGAGTGACTGCTCAAATACTTCTACAAGACAAAGATGCTAAACAGTATTGTTAAAAGTGAAAAGAAATATGCACTGTAAGTGGTGGAAAGAGGAGCGGTAAGGTTATGCATCACTCTGCAAAGAAGTGGGATGACACCATAAATCTCAATCTAAGCGGAAAACAAATGCTTTTCATAGATTAATGTAGAGCACATGACGCATGCACGTCCTGGTCAAATAAAATCCAGTTTAACAATTGGTTACTATCATATGTTGCTTACCACATCGCATACCTATTTATTTCTTACTAGTTGGTCATTATTTTCTTGTTAATATTCGAAAAAAAAAAATGCTACAAAGAATTTGATGCATCTTAGAAGCAAAAAAAGCAAAATAGTGAAGAAGAAATATAGAAACATAAATATAGAGGATGATTTTTTATTACTCCAACCATCGATTAAAAAGGCGTTCGAGGCGGACGCCTCGAGGCGCGCCTCGAATCGAGGTGGAGGTCGGGCGAACTGAGGCTTAAGCCTCGAACGCTCGGGCGAGGCTTACGCCTTTTTCCACGGAGGCGTACACCTCACCGCGTGAGGCGTCGAGGCGCATCGAGGCAGCGCCTCGAAAGTGAGAAAGTTACTTTCACAGTCAGCGAGCTCCTGTTGTTTCTTCCGATCAAAATGTTGTAGCTTACGATCCGACAGGAAAGGGAAAGTCGTCGAAGGAGCAAAGTCGAACAGCCACGAAGGAGCTAAAGAAGCGACGCGTGCAATCTCTACACCTCCTGTGAAGCAACGAAGCCGAACAGCAAGGACGAAAAGAGAAGATGAAAGGCAAACCGTAGACGCAACTAAGTTATTATTGATTAACTTAGTTAATATAATTTAAAATATTAATAATTAAACAAATTAATTAAATAATTAATAATATCATTAGTGCATGAATTAATTATCTATTTTAACTTAACTGGATAATTAGTATTATAATTATTAATTAAATTTTAATATAATTAGCCTAATTAATATAAATTACATTTAAATTACACGGTATGCTCGGTACTGAGCGGTACATGCTCGGTACTGAGCGGTACATGCTCGGTACTGAGCGGTACATGCTCGGTACGCTCGGTATTGAGCATATACAACAAGCGTCTTATCCTGATAGTGGACGAATGGGAACTATCTCCTGATCATTTGTTTCAACAACAAAATCTCCTTCATGTGGAACCACTTAGCACATGATCAAGTTCTATATCATTCATTATCTACTCATGCTTCACTCTAGAGAATATGTCATCTTTCAATAGTTAAACATCTTTGCCAATGTCTTCACTTTTTACCAGATCTAATCTTGTGCTTCTATTTGACTTCCACGCTTTGACTTTTCTTATTTCATCATCCACATTAGTACCAGAAATAACTTCTCCTTTCTCTTGAAGTCCTTCAGTATCGGTTGTTGGTTTCTGTAGCTCCTTAACCTTTGCACGCAACATTTTTAGCTCCAAGACTTTGGTTGATACTCTTAGACTTCATGAGCAATGATGCTTGCCTCGTACTTGACTGAATTTTTTAGGTTGTTTTCACTTGTTGTTCAGAATATGAAGATTTATCAATGAAAGGATGTGTTCCTCCAGAGACGCAATCTCATTTTTCAAAGAAGCAAAAAGGGGAGCATATGCATTCATTTCTGCCTTCAACTCCTTATTTTATTTTCCAAACAATTCAACTTTTTATTTTAAATCTTCTTCTTGAACTTTTTCACAAGCAATTTCTTCAACTAGAAACTTAATTTGCACAATAAAAGTTTTCCCAAGGCCCTTATGTATCTGCATCAACTCAAAGAACTTCTCCTTAAATATCAATTCCATGAATGATGAATGTGAAGGTCATGTAGGAATTATGCAGCTTCTTCTTTGTTGGATCTGCATTTTCAATTGATACTTGGAGTTCAGATGCCAAGTTGGTTTCCCAGGTTCTATGTGCTTCCACTCCATGCAATTCATAAATTTCACTTCCAACATTTGATTAGGTTTTTGACTTTTCGAAAGCACAATATGTCATAATCATTGAAAAAATTCTCTTCTTCAAATGATGAAAAGCATTTCTTCCCTAATCTGTTCCTAACCAACTTGGTCTTGTTGATCACCTACATACAACCATCAGGAGCTAGAAGCAGTTCTGAGTTTTGGATGCCTTGAAACTTGCATGAACTAGACAACACCAAAAGTTTCTCGCCCGTCTCTGCTGGATTTTATTTTTAAAAAATATTGTGGGTTCAGCACTCCTTAAGATGCATGTTTTTAGCTTCAAGAGCTCTCATGCTTTCATTAATCACTCTGATCTCCTGGCCCAGATCATTTGTGTTCCTATAAAAATAGTTCACATCAATAATTAACCACTACAAGTCAAAAGATTTTTCAATAATGCAACTCCTAAAAATTAATGAGAGGAGCTCCTGAGCAATAGCTTCTTTAAGGATATCATTATTTTCTTCTTCACATGCTTCATTTTACTCGCTTAAATCATACAATTTCTTTAACAACGATTCATTTTCCTTGAGCAACTTCGAGATCTCACTATGAGATAAAAGACGAGCTTCTTGTAAATCCAATAATCTGCAACACATTCTCTCGAATACAACATGTAGCATTTCTCGCGCTGCTTGTCAACATTAATATCCTTCTGCAACTGCTTATTTATCTCCATTCGTGATTTTTTCTTTCGAAGTTCAAAATTTCTTGATTTCTCAAAACATATTCTTGCTCAAGCTCTTTTTTTGTGCTCTAAGATCCACCATTATTAGTTCACATTGCTTTAAAAGCGTGAAAGAAGATGATTTCTCAAGTTGAAAATGATGGATTTCACTCTTGGTAACTAGAACAATAGCATGTGGCTCTGCAATTTTATTTGAAATAATTTGCAACATATCATCATAACAGTCATTTGAACTCTACAGTCTTTGTCATCGTATGACTCACAAATCTTCTTAGTGTCGTATGTTGAATCCCTTACAAAAGTTTCACATTACAGTTCAATAGTGTAATTAGCTTCCTCTCTTGAGTGGCCCATTCCAGTTTGAGTTCAAAAAAAAAAAATTGCATGCTTCAATTTCCCCATGTACTTTTCGCAATTTTTTGAGAGAAACAGATTCTTTCAACAACTCAACCAAAAATTGCTTTAGGATGAAACTATCAATCTCAATGTTTACTACTTTAAAATGCTCCTCCTCAAGCTCCTGTTTTGAAACTTAAATTTGTTTTTTCAGAACTTAAATTTGATTACTCGAAATAATCATTTGAATACCGAAGATATTGATATCCTTTTCATCCTCTAGTTTTCCTTGTCGGAATGGACAATGCAGTTCTTCCATATCATGATTTACTAGATCCTTCTCGTTTATAATGTCATTGTTGCCTTCTTAGACCACAAACCAATTTTCCAATCTTTGAAGACGCAAAGCAACTCTTTCCACTTGAATTTCATCTAAGACCACCGCCCCAATAGCATCTTCCACCTTCATTGTAGCAGTTGTCATCATTCCTCTATATTTCCCCTGTGTATCAGGGTGGAATCCCACCTTTCTTCCACCTTCCTTGCATGAACCGATCCCTATGGCTCAGCTTGACCCCCTCCATCTCCGGTCGCTCACTCTCATTGACCGAAATGCCTCCCATAGTGGCCGGCCACCTCACCACCTCCACCATAAAATTTCCTCTTTGTTTTCCCCCCATTCAAAAACCCATATCCGCCACTTATTGGAGGGAGCCCTAGGAGGTGGCTCTCGATGATAGAAACTCTCCTTGTCAAACTCTTCCCGTCTGATCTCCTTTCCCTTAGATTCAACCAAGGGAAGTCCGATCAAATATTAGTTATGGCTTCCAGTAGAGTTTTGTATTACATCTCCATGAGTTTCCTTATCATCTCCTCTAACCGTCCAAATCAGCTATTCATTCGATTCTCCATGGCTAAAAACCTTCCTTCAATGGTTAAGAACTTCTCCATCTGAGATTTGATGGGCTCTACTTTGCTTTTAAACGCATCCAACATCTTTACTGTCATCTCTCTATAACCAAGTTTTGATACCAATTTGATGCATCTTAGAAGCAAAAACAACAAAATAGAGAAGAAAAAATGCAGAACACAAATATAGGGGATGATATTTTATTACTCCTTCAACTAATAACGAAAGATAGTAGGGAAGCTTGAATATCTATTTAAAACTAAAAATCAAGTGAATAAAATAGTTATCAAGGTTATATAAAATAGATTCAATAAACCTTCCTAGAACATAATCGGCTATCCATATTGGAATGAGAGCACCAGTGGCAGGATTCTTGGCGTATGAACCGCTAAATACACCTGTTTTTTTCTTTTGCAGCTCAGTTCTCTCGAGTTCACTTTTTCTAGCAGCCAATTCACTGTATTTTTCTACCTGCATTTTATTTTGACCCGTTAGTCACTGATGCTATTGAAATAAATTGCTAAGCATGAGTAATTAAATGCACATACATGTTTCAGCTGCTCTTTAGATATTATCGAATACAATAAAGAATGTTCAGGGGCTGCTACAAGATAACTGCAACAAAAGACAATTAAGGGCATCAAATTAACTACTAACAAATTCACATAAGTTTATCACTTCACAAGAGTAAACAAAAGTTTTTACAAATCAACCAATAAAGAATGAGCGTTACATACGTTACACCAAAAATAGTGTCTGGCCTAGTTGTATAAACAGACAGTTTTACACCTAGCTCACTCCCATCCGAGTCAAGTATGCCAAATTCTACCTCAGCACCTTCAGAACGGCCTATCCAGTTTCGCTGCATTTCCTTGATACTTTCTGGCCACTCAAGTTCTTCCAAATCCTCAAGTAGACGATCAGCATAAGCAGTTATCTTAAGCATCCATTGACGCATTGGCTTCATAGATCGAATGAAGGGGAAATACGTTAGCATAACTATAGCATATAAGGCTGCGTAATTTTAAAAATCTTGGAGTTATTGAAAAGTTGAGACGGGAAGTCACTTAAAATCATTTAGGAAACAACCTTTCTAATCACAGGATGGCTTCCACGCTCACTAACACCATTAATAACCTCTTCGTTAGCCAAAACTGTTCCCAAAGCAGGGCACCAGTTAACAGGAACTTCAGCCTACATATCAATGTCCATCATGATATGATAAAATTAACATAAGTGATGCAATTGATAAAAAGAAGAATAAAAAGATCCTAAGAGAAACAATGAAACCAAAAGGTATAAATGTTCACAAAACTATGCATTAAACAGCTTAAACCGAACAGCCAGTCTCCTTAGGTAAGTTACACATGTATTAAAGAGAAAAATGTTTAAAAAAATAAAACAAAACAGCAAGACCTGGTACGCAAGTCCTTTCTTTAAAAGCTGAAGGAAGATCCATTGTGTCCATTTGTAATATTTAGGTTCTGTTGTGGATATTTCACGATCCCAGTCATAAGAGAATCCTAAAGACTTGAGCTGCGACATAAAAAAAAATTCATAAAATAAAAACTTATATAAAAATATCAGTAGAATTTGGAATAATGTGAAACTTCCTAATCCTGATAAAGTCGCACAAGCAGAAGCAATGATTCCAAACAGAAGTTATAGGGTAGACTTTAATAGTATCCAATTAAAACATAACTTTCAAATGGGTATGATAGGAGAATTTAAAAGAAAATACAAGTTTCAATGGCAAAGGATGCCTGATCTAATTGAACATTAAGGCTAAAAAGCAGTCCAAAATAAGTAACAAGAACACACAAAACTTCTATTATATTATATAATAAATGTCAAGAATGACCTCAGTATAATAGCATCTGTGAGCTCCGAAAATTCGGCCTCGGCCTCCGCCCGCTTTGATTTGCTTTTTCTTTGGCGAGGGAGTTTTAACGGAATGAAATTTAAAATTGAAATTTCACCATCTTGCACTTAAAGCGGATGGTGGGGGTTAGATGATAGACCCGATCAAGATCCCATGATTTTGTCGTCCCGGGCCATCGTGGTCCCTGGTCTACTTAGTCAGAGAAGGTAGTCGACCCAACCTGACAGAAGGATCCTTGTCGGCAGCCATGGGTTGCTTCGTCCAAGGGGACCTTGTAGACCTGGGGTGAATGTTTGTCTAAGGGGACAAATTTGAATCCACCTTAACTAACAGAGGGCTTTGTACCCCATCGATCATATCATATTGATTCATATATCAAGGATTTAATGCCAATAAGGAACGTATTGGCTCTGGCAATAACCAGTATTTGTGGTGCCATTTGGCGGCAAAACCACTCGATTCAGAGGGTCCGGGTCATAACCACTTATCCTGTGGTGTTATTTGGCAGCAAAATCGCCAGTTAGAGGACATGTACCACGTCCTTACTAGCAGAAGATTGTTTGAGAATGGATCCTAATAATATTTTCGATTAAGCATTAGCTCAATGTGAGCTTAAGTAAATTTCATTTGTCCACCTCGGCAAACTGTTACAAAGGATGGATGGATTTTGCTTTAAGTGTTTGATAGTTGGATTTCAATTTTAAAAATTTGTTGGATTTTGGGATTTTAAGATTTTTTGGATTTTTGGAGCTGGAAAGACATTTGAAATTGTTTGTGAACACCTCCGGTTGAGATAAACATTCAACACGGCCATCATCGAGGTGTTTGGGGTCATTTCCATTTGAAAATATTTATGAACCTTGTCAACCCGATCAACTTGCTGACAAGGGATCTGGTTTCGTAGGCGTTGTGCTCTTTGTTAGTAAATTCATATTTGTTTACTAAGGTCAATGTATTTCATCTCACATTTAGTCACTATTGACCAAACAAATGTTCTTGTAGTTTTAGCTTCCTCGTGTGTGATTCAAGTCTTGTTCCTTGCATGTGTTTGAATCCAAGTTCAGTTTCATTCAAACTTGAACCCATCAAGTTTACAAGTCCCACTCAACGTTGTACAGTTCGAGTTCAAGTGCTCGTTTAAGTCTGGTTCATACTTGGATTCCTTGTGCTGCTCTTGAATTCAGACCCCATTCACATTCAAGTCTTAGTTCAATTCATTTCACATTCAAATTGAGATTGAGTTCACTTGAGTCCGAGTTAGTTACACAAGTTCACTGGTCCCTTATATTAAATCCGGTTCAAGTTCAAAGTACATGTTCAAGTGCTTGCTCAGGATCTTCTGAAGCCCTTGCAAGTTCAAATGAAAACTCAATTTGGTTTGAATTTGATTCCAGTTTGATTTTATTTTATTTTGAGTTTTGACTTTAGAAATCATTTAGGTTTTGATCAGGTCTCCTGCTCGTGTTCAATCAAGTTCAAAAGTCTACAAGTCTGAGTCCAATGTTGTTCATTTGAGTCCCAATGCTTGTTCTTTTGAGTTCAAACAGGTCCGAATACAGTATGTTATCACTCGAAATTTCGGTAGCTTCCCGGCATCTCCCCCATTTAAAGAAAAACTACGGAATACTGGGCCTTTCCGACCACGCGCAATAAAGCCATGCATGGTAGGTGCCCTCTTTTGAGGACACCGCAGCCATGATCTTTCTTCCCACAATGCGTAATGAAGGCGTGCCTGAGGTATTTGATGGTATATGTTTAAAAAGACAGTTTACTTTCCCCATGCTCGGGGGTACTTATGAGTGACTCCGCCTCGCCGTAAGTGCCGCACCGAGGTCCCATCCCACCACGCGCAATAAAGGCGTACATGGGCGGTTTTTCGATCTGTCGCACACACCGAGGATAGGGTTTGGTGGGGGGCCGAGGGGTCACTCGCCTACCTCGTCGAAGGTGTCGCACCAGGTTCCCTCTTACTATGCTCAATAAAGACGTGCATAGGTGGTTTGTCGGCCCGACACGCATGTCGAGGCAAGAGATAGAATAGTATGTATTTATGATTATTATTTTTATTTATAATTAATATTAGTTATAATAATAATTAAGTAATTATAATTAATCATCAATTATTATTTAAAAATTAATTACAATTAGTAAATTGATTATAATTATAATTAGTTAATAATTAACTATAATTAAGCAAACTTAATTATAAGTAATTAAACAATTATAATTAAAAATTGATTACTAATTATTAATTAATTATAATTAAATAATTAATTATAATTATAATTAAATAATAATTAAATATAATTAATATTAATAAAAATGAATTAATAAAAAGAAACCTCCTTTTTCTCCTTCTCTGACTCGATGGGTTTACTGGATTTGGCCGTGGAAGCACGCGCAAGGGAGACAATTACCTTCACACTAGCTAGCTCCCGTCGTTTGCTTCGATCAAACAGGAAGACAACGTCGTCGAGGGAGGAAAGTCGAACAGCTCGAAGGGATCAGAGAAGCGACGCGTGCAACCTCACGGCTGGCAGGCTCCCGTCCCTGCTTCGGATCAAAATGTCGCAACTTTCGCTCGAACAAGAAGGGATAACGTCGAAGGAGCGAAGTCGTCCGGCCACGAAGAGGACCGGGGAAGCACGCAAAATGGAGAAAGTTATCTTCACAATGAGCGGCTCATATCGTTGCCTCTGATCAAACGTCGTAGCTTCCGTCCCGATAGGAAAGGGAAGTCATCGAGTGAGCGAGCTCGAGTAAACACGAGAGAGGGAGAGATCGGAGAGCGTGAGCGGAGAGTGGGCTGTGTCGAGAGGCAGAGAGGAGTGAGCAGGCTCGTAAAAAAGCCCGAAAGCCTCCTTTTCGTGGCCATTTAACGACGCAAGCTCGTCGTGCAGAGTCGTGGCGGATGCGACATCGATCGTGCGAGCTACGTGCGAGGAGTGCGGGCATCGTGCAACGTGGGATGCCATAGCATGTGAGATTTCTTTTTTTTGTTTTCTCGATACAGCAGGTCAACAAATGCCCCCCAACAAATGTGTTAGGCGTCCGGAGCGGGCCACGTTTGTTGTATGATGATTGACCCTGTGGATCTCTAGATGTCACACTAGAGCCTCTTTTTAGTGGATCTCCAAGAATTTACTTGGATGTCACACTAGTTCCTTCATTGATTCTTTTAGAAATATCAATAGATGGATGATGTACTGGCTTTAATCAAGGACATCTAGGGTCATAATATAGCAATTCGTGCTTGGATTCCTAGAGTATCACTTTGTAGATTGATGCTAGTGGATAGCATATGCTCAAGATTCCTCCATCACCTGGTGGCATCTTGGTAAAATTTTAAATATTAAATCTCGGCATGCAGCGCCATATCGACCCAAATAAATATTTAAAATGCCCCCAGTCTTTAGGGACATTTGTAGATGTCATCTTGCGTGCTCATTCCACAACTTTGGCTTGAGTCTTGAGATTTTGATTCCTTCTGCCCTGTGTTTTGTGCTGCGGACTTGGTGAATGATTATCTGATTTGTCTTTACTGACTTCTCAAAATATTTGCAGGCCTTCTGCCCTTTGCTTATAGCTTTGGCAGGCTTGATGAAGGGGTAGATACCGGTGATCTAAACCCTTAGATTTTTATTAGGTCGATGGCGAAAAGTCATCGGTCAAAAGCTTTGTGCATAACTGACTTGTTGATGACAGAATCCATTTAGTTCAGCTTAAAGCTTTATGTGAACTTTGAGATAATTTTCTTTGATCCTAAGCTTTATGCTTTAGCGGACTTGTTGAAGAAAAGTTTTTTCGATCCTCGCTTTATGCTTTGCAGATTTGTTAAAGGATTTATATGTTTTGGATTTGATTGATAGCACTAAACGTAGGTAGTATCTTGATCCTTAACCACTTGAGAAGACTTTAGTCTGAGTTACTTGAGTTCATCAGATCAGAAGAACTGGGATTTGACAGCTCTTCATCCTCTGGTTGCTGAAATGGGGGTTCCTCTACTACGGCCTTTTTTATGGCTTATTAAGTACACAGAGCTACGAGCGATCCAGCCATATTTGGACTTGTTAGATCCGACCTTTTACACCCATTCAGACTTCAGACTTGAGCTATGTGAATTGCGCTCCCCAACGCTGATTTTACTGAAGTTGGTAGATTTGGAGTTCTCTTTTGTGGTTGAGGATTTGGAGTCTACGAACATTCAGTGGTTGTTCGAGACTCATCCCTCCACTGGAACTTTGATTCTCTAACTATTTTGGAGAGTTTGATAGACTACAATCACTTGAACGGGTCGAGTCAAATTGGCCTTCGTTCTTATTACAGTCCATACTGACAGGTTGATGAAGTGGGGGTTCCGCTACTACGGCCTTTCTTATGGCTTGTTGAGTAGATGGAGCTGCCAGCGATCCGGTCATATTTGGGCGTATTGGATCCGACCTTTTACACCCATTCGCACCTTAAGCTTCAGGTTGTTGAAAGACTCTAAATTTTTTCTGGCTCAATTTGTAGGAGTATGTAATCACAAAAATCTCTTTCTTGACTTTTGAGTCTCAGTTTGTTGGAGAAGGTGATGTCATGAAATTACTGAAGATCACCTGCACATACTTTAGAAAACAAGTATTTGTATTCTTTAGCATAAGAGAACATTTGA